CTTAGTTTATACGAATAAAAAAGTACTGACTGAATGGAGGGGTGTGCGCGGACACTTGCTCCTGTAAAATAAATGTAATTTGTGTGGTTTAAACTGTATGTGCTCTGAAGAACCTATAAGAATTTGTGTGTGCGTACATATAGAAGTTGAGAAAGATCTGTCGATCACCTACAGCAGAAAAACTCACAATTGCAGGTTAGTCCTCCTCGACAGACAGAATCTTTTCCTAAATAAAACGCTTCCATTGCGGTGTTTTACCTTAAACAATTTCTTCTTTTTTTCTAATTACACGCGTCTTGTACTGCGGAGATCCGAATTCCCTTTTCGACTGCATCAGATCAGATAAAGTTATAAAAAAGCCAATTTAAATTCAACGTAAACGTATCTTTAGCTAACTTCCCCGATTCGTCACGTTTCCCCACGATAAATCTTAGCGTACCCCTAGTACAGCATAAATAAGGTGGATCTTGTTAAAAACTTGCGGAAAAAACGTAAGCGTTTTCCGCCATTTTTAAAACCGAGACGTTCCCCTTAAGGCTTTCGCGGTTTCATAAATATGCAGATATGCGTTCACCTGAGCTAAACCGGCCAAATTTAGACTACCAATTTATCGTAATAGAAATATTGTAAATACGGATACATCCTGCGCTAAATAGATTTGTGGGTTGGCGTGCTTTCGCATAAGTAGCTTTAAAGACCCCTCATTTTACTTGTGTACGTAGGGCCTTAGTAAACTTGCTATCTGATAATGACAGGCAACAAAATATAGGTGGAATTAATAAAATGAATATACCTATAAAACATTTTTTGTAGCCATTTAATTGAAATTAACTTTTACTGTTAGATGTGTCGTTTTAAATTTGTTGAATATAGACTAACATGACTTAAAAAAAAGTGATTAATTTTACTTGACAATTAAAAATGTTTATATATTTGTAGCCTGGAACTAGTATTGGTGAAAAATATGATAAATTGTTAAATTAAGGACAAACAATAAGAAGAAAGAAAAACTGATAATATTACATCCGGAAATAATACTTATATTAACATAGCCTTAATATAGTACTAGCAACTGATAAAGGAAAAAATACAGATTGTCTTAGTAATATAATGTTATTAGAAATTACGAGAAACATGTTATTAATACACCTCCAAAAGCCTAACTGTGGTTGCTAACCTGCCTGCCAAACGTAGCAATTACTGGCAAAACTCCCCTTATGGGAAAGGCAGTGAACAGTTAACGGTTGAAATAATGATGATGATGTTATTAAAGGACGCCAATTTTTTAAAATTGAATGTCGATGAAAAAGAAAAGTAGATAACACAAAAAGTTGATTTAACTATGTGCAAGACGATATTAATATTTGTGTTGAGATAAATAAATTCGATTATTAAATCAACATTAGAATGGAAGACAAAAATTCTATACCGACCCCATGTAATGGTAATACCATTACATGGGGTCTCAATAATTTCGAAGAATGATCTAATGAATAATTGAAATGAATCATAACCTACTACTTACTTACTAGCAGCATTAAGTAGTAGTAAATAAGGTTTATAATTGTTAGATTGCTCGCTGAGAAACCATACTAAGTAATGGAATGACGCTATCATATCATTTTATAAACGCATAATAAGAGAAAAAACAACATGCAAAAAATTCTGATCTTTACACTTACTGCCTGATAAGAACATCCAATGATTTCATTTTATAATAACGAGATTTTAATACCATTATTATGGAGTTTGATTAAACACTATGTTATTAATTGAAATAAATTTATGCCAGCGGTTGTCAGTTGCTAAAACAACTGATAAGGATGCATTCATTACTCATTAATTACTCAACGTTAACACGAGAGATAATGTTATCTGACGTGTTTGTCTTCCTTGCTTAACCTACATATTTATAAGTACTATATATAGGTAATTCTATTTAAAATTTACTAATACAAACAATTGTAAAATTTGGCTAAGAGAACTCAATATAGTACGTCAGTGCAAAAGACATAAATTTTGAATTGTAATTCTCTACCAAGCCAGTCAAACCCATGAAATTAATAGACTAATATCTGCCCTTTATAAAGATAAATACGAGTTCAGCAGTAGAACTTTAATGAGTTGTTATGGTATAGGTTTAATGACTATAATATATAATATATTATAAATAACTACTACGTAAAATAGATTTCTCAAACAATGTTTAATTCTCGCGGATGAATGGCGTCTGACTACGCTAAACTTGGAAATTATCCAACTGAGATAGTGTGACCGTACCGCTAAACCTCTCGTGATCAATTATAGAATACAATACTTGAATACAGTACCGAATACATAAATTTATTTTTCATTTAAATGTTAAGGTGCATAAATATACTGGGAAACGATACCTTGTATATCTCTTTAATCGATGGTGATCAATCAATCAGGCGCAGCCGTTCGAGCGAGTATGTTTTTCACTTACCCCTATATATACGTCAGCACTTCACCCAAAAACCTACTTTATCTAATTCACACGTTGCATAATTTTAAAAGGCAGGTGTTAAACGAGTATTAAAGCTAACAAACAAGCGTTAAGCCTTGGGTTTCGGCAGACCATAGCTCGCTGAAAATGGTCGAAGATTAGCGGCAGAGTACTTGTGAAATTAATGCCCCGTCTAAAGTATCAAGCTTAGGACTTAATTATGATTTTAGCTTTTATTTATATTTAACACTATTAGTATTGTTTACGTACTGTTTTTACTTAATTAAAGCAAATGAACTAAAAGGCGAAATTGTAAAGTTATGCGATGATCTTGACAGTGTAGTGATTATTGCTTCACCGTCAAGTGTACTGCTTCGATTCCCGAAGAATACAAATATTTGTATCAATTAATGTATTAGTTTGGGCGTTTGTTATATTTTTATATAGTAAATTTTTAAAATATGTACTTTAGTAGATACTTAAGAGTGATTTGTTACTATGGGAACTAATAAATGGCTTTTTGTGATATGTCTGTAGAATTTTGAATCATTTATACAATGATAGAGCTCAATATGAATATTAAATACTTGCTGTATCCCGCGGTCTAATCCACGTAAATCAGTATATAAATTATTTTATGTACTAAGGATAGAACGTACAAATTTCATTAAAATCCATTCATTCGTTTTGCGTGAAAAAGTCAGCCATCCATGAACTTTCGAATTTATAATATTAATATGATAACAAACAATAATACCTGAGCCTATTTTATTTTTATATTTTACATTAATATTATGGTTAGTTAATTTTCTTTATGTTTTATTGTGATCTATTACTTGTTTATCGAATTTATAATAATCAGTGACACAAACGCAAACCCCATCGCCCCAAGCTTTTAGTGTAATAGATTTACTGTCGTTGCACACTTGGCATTTAGTATAGCCATTTTTCACAGCTTGTTTTCCTAGTTTGTACGCGACAGGTGGCGTGCCTATCACTATTCCGCAAAAACATTTCATATACGCCTCAGATTTTATATCGAACGTGCAAGTTCTTATGCGCATTTTACCAAAGCACATGCAACTTCAAAGTTCTGAAAGGATTTAAAAGTATTTACAAGGTATTTAAAAATATATAATTGAAGTGAATTTAGATCCACAAAAATGTAGTGAATTTAATCCTGTCACTCACATACACTGATGATTGACGAGATGTTTCGAACATTAGTTTGAAAAGAATTCAATTTAGAATTCGGCATTCTATTATCATGTAATCATTTTAAATTTAATAACACAACATTAAACCTTTAAACGACGTTGAACCTTCTTCGATTTCTAAAATAATTATTGCAATTAGTTCTGAAATAGCGAAATGAAAAAATAAAAAAATCTCGTAACATACTCATAAAAATATACATCTCTCTTTGAAAGGCGGTTAAAACTAGGTCCAAGTAAAATAACTCAAGGAAGCCTGTTTAATATTATAAATCGATAAAACTATTTCGAGTAATATTCATAGTTGCGTTGTAGTTGATCAAAAGTCCCGTAATCACCCTATAATACTCGCATGGACTCCATTACATGCAGTAGGTATCGTACTGGCGTGCCAACTTTTTCTGAGAACTTAATCAATATTGTGTAGAGGTATTGAAAAGCGAGCAAGCGCTAAGTATATAGCCTCTAAACACGCCAATACCTATTCTCCTCAATTTTTCCAAGTAGGTATATCCTCTGAATTTGAATAAAACATATCTACGCTATATAAAAGACTTAAAATTATATTTTTGTTTCTTTATTTCAATGAACAAGTTTATAAACATATAGATAAATATAATATAATAGGCCTATAGATAAATACCTTTTAGTGTAACATATATATTAAAAAAGTATATAAAATTTTTCACACGTCGTTTATCTTTAACTTTGATCAATCTATCCTTCCATCAGGTCCTTTATTAGATGCATCTTTACATACATTATGTGCTTTTCATCTTTTAAACTACTTACTATATTATAATCTATCTTGAAATTGCTGAATACCTAAAACGTCCAACTCTTTAAAATTAAGCCCACAATTTAGATCGTTCTTGTACTTAGATGTAGTTTGGGGTGGCATACTTTAGATTACTTGTTTATCCTTTGATAATGTTACTTGCAAACTTTGATAATTTCAGTGACGTACCAATCCCGGTCCGGCGCGAGTTTTCGTTAATTCTGCGTACGCCAACCGGCGCTGAATTTGCATTTTGCACGCGTGATAAGTGGCCGGATTACACGGGATTCCCACGAACAGCCTCTGTTTGTACTAAAATAAAGGGCTGTTAAACTTTTTTCATGGTAATTTGGGTCACCTTTAGAATCGTTGTAAATTTGTTTAAGTAGGATTAAGTCCGGCCTATTTGTTTACATCGCATTTTATATTTTATTACTTTTTTTTTATTTAGTTTTATAATTAAAAAATAAAATAAAACAATGTGTAATATTGTTGCGACCGTATCTATTGTGCTAAAAGTTTAACGTTGAAATATTTATACCATCGGGCTCCTTACAGAAGTTTGTTGAAAATCGAGATATTTTTCCATCGCGTGATTAATGCAAGCCACCACAACGCAGTGCCGGCTGACTTCCAAAATTTCCACAGTAAATCTCCGCTTTCGTTTCGCTTCTTTTGTTCGGCTAAGACTTGGCAGCGTATTTTATCTCTGTAATGCAAGCATTGCGTTGGTAGTAAATAGTTAGCAACTATAAATGTCATTAAATAAATATATTATTATAGTTAAAATTATTGACGAAATGTAAAAGTTCAATGACCTTTTAGCGACATTACAGACAAACGATGTGTAAAACGAACCACCCCCATTAGATAAACCGATGACATCTAGATATCTACATTTGAATAGGTACATTTTATTTCCTTATAAAAAACAAGTCATCAATATCTTTATAAAAGACCTTTTTACATAAGGTCTCATAAAATTGTTAGAGAATTAAAATCAACAAACGTAACAAGTTTACTGGATTTTTAAATATAGAAAATCATGTCAGTGACCTTTTACAAATGAGTTATATATCTATTTATATTAAACATCTTATGAAGTTGACTTTAATACCTACTGCTGTTTGTTAGCCAAAAATCGAAACAGCTACGTATGTATTAGTGCATCACGGCATAAATAGGTAAGGTGGTTCAACTTTATACAGATAAGACATTTCTATAAAATTACTTTGCACGTCGCTGAACAATATTTTAATTTATCTAATTGTTTGTTTTGTTTTATTTGATGATAACTTAATATATGTGTGTACGTAATCAGTACCAAATTATTAATATCTGCATATCTTTAGTAATATCTATATATCTATCTATTATATAGCCATGTAGTCCCGGTATAGAATGGGCCACTCCTTCCTTCCTCTCGGGTGTAGTAACAGGCGACTAAGAGAACTTAAAGGTCGAGAGATGGGCAGCAGCGTCCCTCTTAAAGCATCTTCAAAGCCTAACTACGGTTACCAATCCGCTTGCCAAGGGTGGCAATGACTGGGTATTGCCCCCAATAGGAAGAGGCCTATGTTTAACTGTAAACAGTTAACAGCTAATATTATGACGATATTAGTATATTATTTCACAATAAATCCATAATAATTATGTTTATTGGAAACGGTGATCACATTCCATCAGGTATCTTGTCGGCTTCTTTGCTATTCCATATTTCATAAAAAAAATAACCAATCATAATTACTCTCTTATGGGTCAGACAGTAATATTAAGATTGTTTTTGTTTATTTAAACTATATTGTACATTGATATTTATTTATTTGTGTTCTAAAAATATCTTTAATTCATAACGGTAATTGTAGATCTACCGAAAAGCAGGAATATTTGAATTAAGTAAAGTCATGATATTATTTATACAAACATCGTCAATATACCAGTAGACTATCTGAAGCAGATTTTTTCGCACGTACCCATGTAATAAAAGAAACGGAAAATAAACAAATAGAACGAGCAAAATAAATCCGCAAACAACAAACAAACAAAAACGTTGCAATGAAAACTAAATTCCCGCACGCATTTCTCACTGGTCTAAAGTTTTTTCTATGCAGATGCAGCTATGCATCAGTGTCCTATTTAGGATTCAAAGTCGTTCAATGCAACGTTGAACTTTCACAATATCGCACAAACTGCACTCAAGTTTTATCTCCATCTTTGACTTCAGCAGAATTCAGCCAATATTCCAGTCAACTCTGATAAAATGAGCTGAGAAAATAGTTTTTGTTACCCATAACGATATTAGTGATTTAGAGTTTTGCGTTTATTTTTTATTAACGAATATAGAGGCATTATATGACTATTAAATTATGATAAAATAACGTTTAATAATAAGAAATATTATAACAAAAATTCGAGGTTAGGCCCAAAATATACTAAAATATAATGTTAAGAGAGTGTGTAGGTAATAGAAAAAAAAAATGGGTGAATGATAAAAGATACATAGATATTTATATATTATTATTTAGTGAATCAAGTATATGAAAATATAATGCTTTAAAATAAAATATAAAAATTAGCTACAAATAAAATGTTCTCAATTTTATAACTTTCGTAGTAGTAAATTGACGCATGCGCCGTCGGACGTCGGATATTTACAGAATCCGTCGGTCGTTCGGTTTTGCATCGATCAATTCCAATTTTTCAACAAAATAATAACCATATTTACAACATAAACTATCACTTCAGAACTAATTACATCTCAATAATATTTTATTTTGATAAAAAATAATACGATAAACTACATAAGGTTAAAATATCCTTGTAAATAAAAATCTTTTAAATATAATCCTATTTTGTACTTATGTATTTTTATTATTTTATCTGTAAAATAATTTGAATAAAACAATTCTTACATGTTAATGTAATGTACCCATTTTGCTTTAGTTATTATTTAACATGGTTTGTCAATCATGAAATTTGTCTATTCTCATATAAATAAATAACATTTAATAAGTACCTACTGAACTATGCTATTATATATTTGATATTTGAAGTGTAATAAAACATATTTTACAATAAACTAATTAAAAAATAGTACTGGCTACTAGAAAAATCAAGAATGGTGGGTTAAATATTATAGGTTTAAAAAATACTAGATAAGTTGTATCGAACTTTTTGATTTGAAACTGTATTATACACAGTTTCACACAGGAAAAAAGTTTCAAACAGTTTTATATATACTCTTCAAGTACCGGTCTGATTAGACAAAATATGTAAACAAGAAAATGAGAACAGGAAACATTGTCCATACAGAACTTAGCTTTGTGTGCTTCGAGCGGCGTCTATCCAAAACATACGTATTTTTCACATAAATTTCCTTTTAAACGGATAAATTAATATACGATATGAATAAAGCACATATTAACTCACTATTTTTTAACTTTAAATAAGAATTAAATACATTAATAAATAGGAAAAACTCACAAAAACAATGCGAAAAACACAGAGACACCATTCATTCCACATTTGTTGATACAGAGGGCGACTTGATCGCGTCATTCAATATGGCGATGCGACGCCGTTTAGTGATTGGTCGACGCGCGCATTGCCGTGAAGTTGGCTTGGGTGTGCGAGCGAGAAATATTTATGTGATGTTTTGGCGCCGATGAAAGACGGAGAATATGTTGGGACGAGAGTACATTTGTATGCTGCTAGCGTGTCGGACCGGTTTTGTCAGAGGCGTTTACAAAGTGTGCGTATGTGCGCATGGGTATATGCCGAGGGCAGGTAGAGTATCGCGCTACCTATTTATAATGATGAATTGAATGGTGCGCGCGGTGCGTTGGATTAAAAATTAAATTTTTAATTTTTATTTTCTCTTGTTTCAGGTAAACTCTATGAAGGTAAATACTACAACGAAAAATGAGGACATTATATTAATAATGAAGCATAAGCAAATTGTGAAAGGTTGATTTTTAAATATTTGACTATTAGGTATATGCAAAATAATATAATTATATACCTACATGAATAATATTATTATTTACGAAATAAATTTAATAACATAAATACGTTGAATATATTTAAAGATTTTCATAAATATGTGGTAAGTGTGGTAGAAATATTAATGAGTAAAAGTAGGTAGAATTTTTTAACAAATAATTTTACTAATGTAATAATACCAAATTCATACTGAGAGGGGAATTATCCTAATTCTTACTTATGTGGTAAACGTAACACTTTTAAATTTGGTCATATTTTGTCAAACTCATCTATGTTCAATACAACATAAGACTGGTCAGCCGCATGTCTGAGATATTAGATATTAACTATCATTAATAAAAGGAATAATAGGGTATTAAAATTATAATAAGCAGTTTTTATTTTTGAAGTTGAAATTAAGACCTTCAGATCGTAGAAATAAGGTATCTTTCTCCATGATAGATTACTAGAGGGAGAATTTGTACAAAAGTCATTTGCTTGGGCACCTTTGTCCCATTCGTGTTTCTGCCGTGAAGGAGATGTGTTTGCATGGCTGTGTTTCAGTTTGAAGGGTGGGATATGGCAATGAATTTATAGGATACAAAGGAATAAAATGAAAGGCAACGCATGGGGGGTATCATAGGCGAAACAGTATACTCTGTTATGTCAATGGTACTGCTCATGTTTATAGGCGACGGTTACCACTTTCCATCAGGTGGGCCGTCAGCTTAATTGTCATTCTAAGTAGCATAAAAAAATGACAAATTATTAAAATTATATATTTACCCGCGACTTCGGCCGCATGTCCAGAATATGTTTACTCACCTGGATAAAAAGTGACTTATATCCTTCTCCATTCGTACGTGTATACCAAATTTCATAGTGATTGGTTAAGCCTTTAAGGCACAATAATAAACTAACTTTCACATTTATAATAGTAACAATTATTAAAAAAAATGTATTTACGAAGTAACATTACAACGTGCAATTCTTTTTCATTTTCAAGATGTATTAAAAAGTGAAGGGGAACAAAAGCAAGACATTAGTGTAAGCAAAAGAAAACTTGATATAAAATCCTAAATCTAACTCGCCTGGAGCGAAAATAGTAGGTCAATATCCTCCTTTAGACGAGAACAGACTCATGGGAGTTGATGGGTTATTATGTGTGGTGAAGTGGTGAATGGCGAGACAATCACATTTTTCATCGGATAAATCAAATGTGATCATTTAAAAGTAAGTGTAGGTAATAATAATATGGATAGTAATACAACGTTTTGAAAATATTTGGAATAACCGAAATTGGAGACATTGGAGGCATTTTAGAAAGATATGTTATCTAGATTGGTCTTGCCGAGATTTAAGGATCTCATTTATGGAGGCAATGTGTTTAACCACTCTTTCACGTCAGACAGAGTCAGACTGCACATGTTTGTATAGTATGTATCGTGTAATCACATTACAATCTCATTTAGATATGTTAAGTAGAGAGACTCAAAATGTCATACATTTAAAATTATGAAATCAATGTTTTTTTAATTACTTTACAGTTTAGATAACTATGGAATCAACAAATACATAAAACTGGAATGATGCCTATGATTTTAATAAAACAAAAAAGACCAATATTAACAAAATTAATATAAAACCAACAATAGAATTTGATTAAAAGGAATTATCAATATCGGTTTAGAATTGAGGCTATCGGGTAACATACAGATAAAAAACCAATAAAGTTGTCTTGTTTGAAGTTTGAATTACTTTAACAATAAACCTAATTCGACATTTTTCAACTATCAAATGCTTTCAATAGGAAAATTGTTATAGGCATATCGTATCACAGCCAGCCAGACCGAACAGCCGAGCGGAAGCCGGAATATGTGATGAAAAGAAAAAAAGTCGAATATGGCTCAAGCCCAATGGGCTAAGATAAATTTATTTTGTCGTGTAACTAGCAATAAATATGCTAATTCAACACTATAACGTCCGTATGTCGCCTAGCAGCTCTGCCATTGAGAGAGTGAAAAAGATATCACAAAATTGCACTGCGCATTGCTCTTTTCAGTCATACAACCTTCTAGTACCATCAAGCAAAAGATAACTCTGTTTCATTATGTTGAGGGTCCTATTTTTTTTCCTCCAAATTTATAGAGTTACGACATTGTGTTTTCGGTGAGTAGTTTTATCGACCTACGGCAACTACTAACCCAATAAATTTTGGTGTTTCGCTCAGAGAATCCGTTCGTAGAATGAATGCATCGTCCCAGATACGAATTTGCGAGATTTGACTATATTGGATTATTTCTTTGAGGATTATGATTTATAGAAACATAAACCAACTTTGAGTTCAATTAGCTTTTATTTATTCATAAGTAATATGAGTTTATAGATAAACAATTATTTATTGTCATATTCAGGTATTTTTCAATTCAAAAGCGAAACCTTTTTTGTAATATTAAATAAGTGCTACGTAATTATATTGACTGTCTAAATAATATTTAGAGACACAAACAGGGCCAATTTTAAAAAAGTTTTTCTATTAAATTAGGTCGACTGAGAATCGAACCTAGAGCTTTATTTAAACAAAGAAATGTGTCTAATACTGGATCACATACATGGTCTTTACAAAACAGTTTATACAAGTAGGCATATCTTAATTAACAATAACAATTAGAATATAAATTATGAGCATAACTTAATCTGCAAAATGAAACAATCGAAATCAATATTTAATTGATGGGCAAACCTTAATTAACTTGTATATCGGCGGCGTTCCAAAGCCCCTTGAATAAAAGAAGCCATCTGCATTTTGGTATTCAAATTATTCTCCAAACGTGTTCTCCGTTCTAATTGTAGAGTTGCTTAGAAAATAGTTGCGTCACACTCACTCTTGCGCAGCACGAATTTGTAAGAGCAGCGTAACCCTTATCTTAGTCGTGTTCCAACATCGAAAGGGTAGCACAATATACGAACTCATATGGACCCAATTATAAGGCAACAAAAAAATCACATCACAAAAGTTTGCCTAAACTAACCTCGTTAAGAGATTTTTGGATAAAAGAATACCGTTTTTCAGTACGGTTACGATTGTCAAGTCGATCGGATAGCTCGATCGGTGTTGAAGTAACGACTGAGTTAAAAAATATCAAGTGTATTCATAACCTTGTTGCCTCTTTTAGTGACAATAGTAGTGCAAGGAGAAAGTTCGTTGCGTTTGTATTCGAACAACAATAAAAAAAAATATCTTTTTATGCCATTGTTTAGGGAGAAAGTCACGATCGCCCTTTAAAAAACTTTTATACCTGCAAAAGAAGCGAGCGATCAACAGTTTAAGTTTTTTAGTTTTCGAATAGCTTTGCCGTAGAATGCTCGTGTATTTAAGTTGTAAAAAATCCTCAACGGTTGTTCCAAATTTGAAATTGTTGAACAAGGGCTAAACTGTGAGTAAAATTGTGTAAATAAGTGATAAATTGACTTAAGATACAACCGGTCACCTCTTCTTAGAGGTAGATGTCGTCCTGTATAGCGTAGGTATACACTTACAATATTCTCCTTGCTTCTTCATGACACAGCATTGTTTGCATATTGAAACTTGATTTCAGGTAAATAGCAAGTTACTGTTTCTGGCAATAATATTTATAATAATGTTTGTTTTAGCCATATAATAAAAGATATTCATGTTCTTAATATTTAGAGTTTTCCCAACATAAATAATGTTCCAGATTAAATGACAGGAAACAAACATGAAAGCGAAATTTCTCCAAAAAAATTAATCGGGGGCGACACGAAAATTTAATTTCACGCTCTTGTACGTGCAGTGTTTGTACAAATTAATGTTGTTTGCGAATTTTTTGTCACGCACTGTTTTAGGCAGTTTAGATATTAAAAAAGTGTGACGAGTTTCAGCACATCGCTTTGTTAGTAAAATATTAATCGAACTCGAAACGTAATGTTTCAAGGAAAATGGATGTTTATTTCTCTTAACTTTGTTTTGAAACATACCTACTCTTTTTAGGCAAGTATTATAGCAAAACTCATTATGTCATTTTCAATTTAGAATTGATTCAAATATCGGTAAGTAAAATATAAAGTTGTTATTTAAAACATGACATATAAATTACGTATTTTCTTTGATTAATTTATTTTCTATTTATATTGTACCTGCTAATAATTTCTACTTACATAAAATATGCAATAAATATTTTATACAATCTTTATTATTTTAGCCTATAATCCGCAAACCTGTCAAGTGTATGATTGGAAAATTTCTCAAAAATTAAGCAGGATCGGTCGTTTACCGAAACTATCTAAGACTTCATTAAAGCCACACAAAGTAAATACGTATCCAATGGTCTCGGAACAACAGGGAACATGTTGAATGTCTACGCACATGCAGACAAAGGAGGAGACGCTTAATTAAACTAGCGAAGCGGGCGAGCGAAACGTAAGCATTTAATTTATATCCCTGCAGTAAACTCCGCGAGCGCTTCTCCTGTGGTCCAAATTCATGAGGGAAGCGATTTATCGTTCTTATATAAATATTGACGGTATTCAACTACTATTATACTATACTACGGCATTCAACGGAACAGAATATAAGAAAAAATTTAACTCTACGGTCTGCGGACATCTTTTCAGCCATAAGGTTTCGTTTTAAACACTAAAGAAAAAATTTAGATGAGACCTCTTTCATTGAAATCGACAACTTTATAATAGACAGTGATTGAGCAGAGTAAAAAGTATATTTTACATAAAATAGAAAAAAACAGACGAATTTCATATAGATTCCGACATATAATATTATTATTAATATACATTAAATAAGGTTTTTATAATATATAGTATATAATATTAGGATAATATAAGAAAATCATGTCCATACTAAAATTAAGATATAGCTAGACTTCCGTTAATCTAATTCCCA